TTTTTGGGAAAATGGCACTTTTTCCCCCTATGTTATATACTTATAGCACTTTTTCCCCCTCAATTATTTATGTAAGCACATTAGCCCCCTCAATTATTTTAAAAGTGGTGGTTTTCCCCCCTAATATATTAAATTGACATTTCTACCCTTAAAGTAAACATTTTATTTATTTTACTTCTCCAACAAATTATTGCGTATATGTAGCGATTACCACGGTTCGGTTCGAACTGAACCAGACACTATAGCAATCGAATTAAAAGTTTTCAGTTATGATTCAGATCTAGAACCCAATATTTGGATTTCAATTTATTAAATTTAAGAATAAAAAAAAAAAACTGGATCATGAACCGGCGGTTCCGGATCCCGTTCGCGATTTTGAACCGTCTTTATTTTAAAATTTTATTTTTTATTTTAAAATAGTTTAAATTCAACAATAAATGTATTTTATTTTTTCAGTTCGGAACATGAACCGGCCATTCCAGTTCGCGATTTTAATAAACTCTAAATATCGCGTTTTGATTATAAATTGTAATTGGAATATTTTGGTTTGGTTACTATAGTATCTGGTTTGAACCAAATTATAGTAATAATTTATTGGAGAATAAAAATAAATGAAATATTTATTTTAAGGATAAATATGTCCATTTAACATTTCAGGGGGAAAAAGAGCCACTTAAATAATTAAGGGGGAAAAAGTACTATAAGTATATAACATAGGGGGAAAAAGTGTCATTTTCCCTTTTTTTTTTTTTTTTTTTTTTTTTTTTTTTTTTTGGTAAGTGATACGGAGTAATTCTTAATATGGATAATAAATAATAAATTTTTGTGTCCTAAACCCAACTTGAATTATATATATTAAAGAGTTAATACCCAAAATAGTCCCTCGACTATGTCGTAATTATCAATTTGGTCCTCGATTATCATTCTTACCCAATTAAGTCCTCAACTATACAATTTTTACCCAATTTAGTCCTTTGTCAATTTGACTGTTTGTTGACTGTCAAAAGTGGAAATAAAGTTGTAATTTTACAAGTTTTCTCCTTCATCCTCATTTAGCAGCGCCAAACCATGTAGCAATAAGCTCCGGTTGGGTTCTAAACCTGTCAGTATCGAAGTAGTGGTTATGCATCGGATAGCCCATGAATTTGATTTCCAACGATTTTTTGACGATCGAAATCTGATCGGAGTGTATTGCTGCATAGTTTGGCGCTGCTAAATGGAGAGGAAGGAGAAATCTTGTAAAATTATAATTTTATCCCGACTTTTGACAGTCAACAAACAATCAAATTAATACAGAGGACTAAATTGGGTAAGAATTGTATAGTTGAGGACTAAATTGGGTAAGAATTGTATAGTTGAGGACTTAATTGTGTAAAAGTTAAATAGTTGAGGACTTAATTGGGTAAGAATGGTAGTTGAGGACCAAATTGGTAATTATGGCATAGTCGAGAGACCATTTTGGGTATTAACTCTATATTAAAAATCAAAGTATCCGCATTAATGGGGTGTTGGGTTGAGAGGAAGGAATTAGGAAGGAAAAGAATTACAATTTGGTGGGAAAAGAATAAGGTAGGAATTCAAATTACATTGTTTTGTTTGGTAGGGGGAATAGAATTATTGGCAATGGAAAGAAAAAAAATGGTATAAAAACTAAAATATTCTTGTGTAATAACAATAAGTAGAAAGCGTCAAATAGGCCCCTTAACTTTTACACATTGTGCAATTAAACCATCAAACAAAAAAAAGTTTGCAATTAGACCATTAAAAACTCAAAAATTGTGCAAATATCATTTTTAAAAGTTATTTCTAAATTTCCTTTAAATATGAAGTCATAATTTCAAAGTATATATAAAAAATTATTTTAATTATTATTTTAAAAAATTAAAAGAAAAAAAATTGTTTAAAATTTCCGAAGCAAGTGTAGGCATAAAAATTTTAACTGAACAGTTCAAACTTGTTTTTAAAATTTGGCATGATTTTGGTGCATCGCATATAAATTTGTTTTAAAATTTTAAAAAAGAATTCAGAAAAAAAAAACAATTTAAAAAAAAAAATCAGAAGGTGGAGGCAGAAAATATAATATAAAATAATTGGTTTTTAATGCCTACACCTGCTTCGAAAATTTTAAACAAAAAAATTGTTTTTTTTTTCTTTTTATTTTTAAAAATAATAATTAAAATTTTTTATATATATAGTTTGAAATTATGACATCATATTTAAATGAAACTTAGAAGTAACCTGTAAAAAATGATATTTGCACAAATTTTGAGTTTTTAATAATCCAATTGTACAATTTTTTTGTTCGATAGTTCAATTGCACAATATGTAAAAATTTAGTAGCCTATTTGACACTTTTTCCTAATAATAATAACAGTCACCGATGACCCTTTTGTCATTTCATTTATTTTTCCCGTTCCCACAAGCATTGAATTGCCCCATGAATTAACAATTCAACAAAAGGATGGAATTGCAATTCAACCAACCAAATAATGTAATTTGAGGTTTTCATTGGATTACAATTCAATTAGGAATAAGGTTCAAATTGACCACTGAACGTAACTTGAAAATGCAATTAGGTCATTGAACGAAAAAAAAATACAATTAGGCCACTGAATACTCCAAATGTATGCAATTTCACCTGATAGCAGGTTACCATTAAAAAAAAAAAAAACGACGGGGGCGGCCACCCCTCGTTTATGTTTTTTTTTTTTTTTTCAATTTTTTATTAAAATTTATTAAAAATGTCAACCTAGTTGTCACGTAAGCAGGTAACCTGCTAAAATTGATGGTAACATGCTATCCAGCGAAATTGCATACATTAGAATTGTTCAGTGGCCTATTGTACGTTTTTTGAGTGTTGAGTGACATAATTACATTTTTGAAATAAGGGTCAAATATGCCATCAAACTGAACACAATAATACAATTAGGCCACTGAACCTAAAAAGGCAACAATTAGATCCCTAAACTAACCATTTTCTTACAATTAGTCTCCAAGATTGCTAGCAAGTCACCTTTAATTTAAAATATTTTTTTAATTTTAAATATTTTTTAAAATATTTATTATTTAAAATTTAAAAAAAAAAAACAAAAACCATATCGTCTCCCGCCATGAATTCGTCTCCATGGCCGGAGACGTCTTCCTCTCTGGCCGACCGGAGACAAAGAGTCTCTTCTTCTCCGTAGCCGGAGACGTAGATGTAACTAACTTCACTTCACTGCAACAAACCATTTGCCATTAAAATACTTCTTATAAAACCTTCACTGATCCATGGGTGGGGTTGGTGGTGAGAGTAATATACATAGTAACTAACTTTGTAAGTGACAAAATTACAAAAGTAATTGGAACAATACTGCTGAGGGTGAAGTGATTGTCCATAAGCCATTACAACTTTTTCTCATTCTTGCTTGCATTTCAGGTGACAGAGCTTGGAACTTTGACAGTAACTTTGCATTTACTCTGAAAGGAACAATATTTGCAAAATCCCCAGACAAAGAAAACAGCATCCACAGCAACCAATCAACCATACTCATAAAATTTTGCATGAAAATCTCATAACTGGAAGATCCAGAAATACATAAACCATGGGATATGTCATATAACTCCACCTCTGTTAATATGCTATATATCCTTTCCAGCTTCTTCGCTGACATCATGATTCTTCAAGTCATTGAATTGATGGAAAAATCTTATGTCCTCTTCCACCAAAAGAGATACAATCCACTACCAATATTACACAAACACTGGTTCCATTCATTCATTCAGAATTCTAATATCCCAAACTCCAAAAAAAAAAAAAAGAAAAAGATCATCGTTATCTTCGTCTCCGGTCCGGCTATGGAGACGAAGAGTCTCTTCATCTCCGACAGTGGAGACAAAGAGACTCTTCGTCTCCATGGCCGGAGACGAAGAGACTCTTTGTCTCCCGGCCAGAGACGAAGACGTCTCCGGCCATGGAGACCGTTCTGTTTTTTTTTTTTTTTTTTTTTTTTTTAGTTTTAAATAATAAATATTTTTAAAAATATTTTAAATTAAAGGTGACCTGTTAGCAACTTAGAAAACTTACCAATTAGACTAATTGCAAGAAACTGGTTAGTTTAGGGATTAGACTAATTGCAAGAAAATGGTTAGTTTAGGGATTTAATTGTTGCTTTTTTAGGTTCAGTGGCCTAATTGTATTATTGTGTGCAGTTTGATGGCCTATTTGATCCTGAAAAATTATGCTGTGCATCCGTATGCACCATGCATGGTGCATCATCCGTATGCACCATGCATGGTGCATACGGATGCAAAAACGACGTCGTTTTAATAAAACGCGCGTCTCCCCTTAAAAAAAAAAATCAGGTTCGATTCCCAGCAACAACATATGAACTAAAATTCCATAATCGATGAACTATAATTTCATAATCGATGAACTATAATTTCATAATCTAATCTATGAACTAAAAATTCCATAATGAATGAACTAAAATTTCATAATTTATAAACTAAAATTTCAGAATCGATGAACTACAATTCCATAATCGATGAACTATAATTCCATAATCAATGAACTATAATTCCATAATCTATGAACTAAAATTCCAGAATGAATGAACAATATAATGTTGTTGCTGGGAATCGAACCTGAATTTCTTTTAAAAGGGAGACGCGCGTTTTTTAATAAAACGACATCGTTTTGGCATTCGTATGCACCATGCGTGGTGTGCATACGGATGCACAGCATAACGATTGTTTGACCCTTATTCATACACTTTTTTTCGTTCAGCAGCCTAATTGCATTTTCAATACGTTCAGTAACCAATTTAAACCTTATTTCATTCAATTATAACTAAATTACATTTAACGTGTAATTATCATTTTATGTGTATATAATTATCATTGCAATATAATAGAGTCAATACATTCAAAAAAACAATTATCATTTTATTTGTCTGTAATTATTATGCTCTCAATTTAATTACAGGTGCATAATGTTTTAACTACAGTCTGCAGAATAATTTTTAAACTAAAATTTCAATATGAACCTGGTCCATGGTATAACAATGGGTTATTGACTTCTTATTAGCGACTCTCCTCCGACTCCGATTGTTTTCTCGGCCAACAACCGGCGAGATGTTCATCGCAAGAATTTTCACTACCACCCGGTACTCCCCTCCCTACCGCTGCTCACTGTTTTCTCTATTTCCATTTTCAACCATCGACATTCACGTTAATCACCTGGAGAACAAATCGCCATCCGAGGAGCACACTGAATACGATTGTCGTCACATCGGTGAATCCGATATCCTAAATCAGTTGTCTGAGCTTTTACCAATCCGTCACATCGCTTCAATTCGAAAATCCACTGCAGTGAGTTCGTCTGACACACAAAAGCAATCGGAAACTATGGCCCTTGATGGGTTTTTACCGCCCGAAGATAAGTTCCGAGGGATTTTTCTTCAGAAACTCCGCGGGATATCTGCAATTGAGAGGGCATTAGCTTCTGTTGGTTTAGACCCAACACTCGATTTAGTAGCTAAAGTTGTGAATAGAGGAAATTTAGGAGGTGAGGCCATGGTTACGTTTTTTAGTTGGGCGATGAAGCAGAAAACTATAGCAAAAGACGCAAATACTTACAATGTGATTCTTAAAGCATTAGGAAGAAGGAAATTTTTCACGCACATGATGGCATTATTCGAAAACATGAGAGTCGAGGGGATTACTCCTACTTCAACTACAATTTTCATTGTTTTGGATAGTTTCATTCGAGCCCGCCAAGTCTCAAAAGCTATCCAATTGTATAGGAAACTAGAGGACTATGGTTTAAAATGTGATACCGAAGCTTTGAATGTCCTTTTGCAGTCTTTGTGCAGGAGATCACATGTGGGTGCTGCAAGTTCCTTGCTTGTTAAAATGAAAGAGAGAGTGGCCTTGGATGGTATGACCTATAGTATAGTCATTGGTGGGTGGGCAAGATTTGGTAGAGTTAATGAAATTGAGAAAGCTTTGAAAAATATGATAGAAGATGGTTTTGATCCAGATAACATGACTTATAGTTATGTTCTTGAAGGTTTAGGAAGGGTTGGTCAACTTCATGATGCAATTGAGATATTTGAAGGTCTAGACGAGAAAGGGCATAAACAACATGTTGAGGTTTACAATTCAATGATTTCTAATTTTATCTCAGTGGGTCAGATTGATGAAGGTTTGAAGTATTACCGAAGGATGTTGAGTAACAACTGTGAGCCAAATGCGGAGACATATACAAGGTTGATATTTGCTTTTCTCAAGGCCAGAAGAGTGGCTGATACAATTGAAATGTTTGATGAAATGATAGGCAAAGGTATAATTCCCAGTACTGGAACTGTAACCTCTTTTCTTGAGCCTTTATGTAGCTATGGTCCGCCTCATGCTGCTTTGATGATTTATAAGAAAGCTAGGGAAGCTGGATGTGTGATATCACCGAGTGCTTTTAAGTTGTTGCTTATGAGGCTTTCTAGGTTTGGTAAATGTGGGATGCTACTAAAAATCTGGAACGAGATGCAAGAAAGTGGCTATTCTTCTGATATACAAGTTTATGAATATGTCATCAATGGACTTTGCAACATAGGGCAACTTGAGAATGCTGTCCTTGTAATGGAGGAAGCATTGCAGAAGGGATTTTACCCAAGCAAGCTTATTTGTAGCAAACTGAGCAACAAACTGCTGGCATTGAATAAAATAGAGACTGCTTATAAGCTTTTCCTGAAGATAAAAACTGCCCGTAGCAACCAAAATGCTCAAAGATACTGGCGTGCTAAAGGGTGGCATTTCTAATCTCTCATGGATGGTGCTGCCATCAATCCTGGAAACAGGTATCGCCTTACCTTCAGACATCTGATTTCTAATACTAACTCTTGATGCATTTTCTAAAATGATGTTCTCTTTTCATTCAGAGAAATTTTCAATATTTCTTGTGCATAAAGTATTTGTATTGTTATCTCCCATTGTTGCAGTGGAGGCCCTCTATTGGATTCAAAGTGAAACTTAATTGGAATTAACACTGCAATATTAACTCAGACAGGTAAATACTTTGCCTATTTCTAAATGTTTTGTAATAAGAGAGAGAGAAGTGTGAGAGGAAAAATATTTTTAGTTCTTCTAGTGTACAGAGATGTTGGTTTTCTTGAGTACAGATATGTTGGCTCCTGGAAACAGTCTTGCAGCTAAGGCTGGGATTCTCCCCACCTCAAGGGGCTTTGCTGGCAATATTGTGCTTGGGGATATCATTGAAGCAGTGGACAACAAGCCAGTGAGTTGTTCATTGCTATAATTACTTGCTCAGAACCCCATTCCTTCATGACATCAATGTTCTGTGATAATTGTGTTACAATGCTCTCTCTTGTAAAAAAGAAAAAAAAAAGAAAAAAAAAAGAAAAAAAAAAAAAACTATGACAATAGCAAAAATTTCTTATTATTTCACATTTTTGGGTAGTAGGTCAGGAATAAAGCTGATTTGTATAAAGTGTTGGATGACTACAGTGTAGGGGACAAAGTCCAGTTAAGATCCGAAGAGGAAATGAAAACGTGGAGTTCTCTGTAGTTTTTGAGGAAAAAGAGTGACGAAGCTAGGCGCCTTGGAATTGAATTTTGCATATCCCGCTTAATCAGAGTACGTACATCTATCCTTCCCTTTCTGTACATTTGATCCGTTTTTATTAAATTTGGGGCATCAGAGTATATAGGCTTGTGTCATTGAAGAAGTGAACTGGAAATATTATACTGTTTCTCACTAGAATTCCTACTGGTGTATATCAACTGTCTTAGAATGTTCACCAAAAAAAATCACAATTATTGCTGGGTGTTAGTTAACAGACAACCTATCAATTTGGAGTATGTAGCATATTTCATTGCAGAAAGTGATTGGCTTGTTGGATTGTTAGGCCATCACACTATTTTATTCAATCCGAATTGATTTCTTATTACAAAGAATTAAGATTTAAGAACATAGGTTTGCACCAACTTCCTCCTATGCAAGATGTATCTAGTTTGAGTATCGTTATATACATGGTTGCAGTAAGCGCTAGTCGGGCGCCCGGACAGCGCCTAGCGCCTAGGCGGAATCTAGGCGGGCGCCAAAAAAACAGTGGTAGACTTGCAGTTTGACAATTTTAATGAGGTTGTTTTCAACATTTAATCAAATAACACATCCAAATAAATGAATTAATGATAATTCATAAGTCATAACATCAAAACAATGGTTTTCAAAAAAAAAAAACATTAAAAATTAAAAATACTCAAATATGAAATACTCAAATACTTCAATCATCCAAAGATTCAAAGTATCAAACTAGTCTACGAGTGTATATATGTCATATTATATATACGTATGCACGCGCGCACATACACACACACACACACATATATATATATATATATATATATATATATATATATATATATATATATATATATATATATATATATAATAAAAAAATGGTCCGAGCCGATCGGGTTAACTCGACCGAAATGGACGAGTTAACTCGACTAACTTAGACGCTAGGCGGCCAAATCGGCCGAGTTAGGCGCTAGGCGGACGCCTAGGCGGCCGGTAACCTAGGCGGGCACTAGGGGGGAAATCGCCACGGTCTAGAGGCGCCTAGGGCCTAGGCGGGCGCCTAGACCAATTTTTACAACCTTGGTTATATACACTATACATGATTGTTGTTTTCTTGAGCTTTCGACTAAATCAAATTTCTGTGTGTACAAGTGTCGGTTTAAAGAATTTATGATGTTGTCAAGTTTAAAGAATCTATGAAAAAATAATGATGAGTAGCTGCCTGCTATACAAGTTGTAAAGTGTAAAATAGAAATCTTATTGTTTGAAATTTTTTTATAGAGGATAGTGTATTTGAATGTGAACAGGCCATCACCTTAATGATGCTGTTCATATCACCATCAACGGATGGTTCAGTATGTCTTATTTGCAATGTATTTTCGTTCAGTATTATTTGTATTGCAATTGCAATTTGGAATTAGCTAGACAGATGACTGATGACAATGGAAAACTACCCACATATTTCACACTATTTTTGTCCAAAAAATCATTTTTGTCCCGATTAGAAGCTGAGCCTGAGCTAATGTTGGGGAAACTAGAAACAACATTATTTTATGGTTTTAAGAATTAAGAGTAATTAGTCTCTGTTAGTCTATCAATCAGTTGATATATATATATATATATATATATATATATATATATATATATATATATATTGGATCATGTGAAATTAGTTCCTTAGGTGAAAAATGCGCAACAATCTAATTTTAGTATTCAAATTTGGCGCATGATCAGGCAGTTGTAGCTCTTTTGGTATTATGTTAACGTTCGAGGGCAAAAATATCAAAAGTCTCACCACTACCCTTCCCGCTTCTCCATTTTGTCCACTACAGCAAAACATTTTTGCATAATTTCTTGAGCAAGCAACTCTTAGGCGAAGACGACAAAGACTTGACAGAATCTATCACCTCTGCTCATCTATAAACAGAAATAGCGAAAACAATGGTGTCTGACTATGACGTATCTCGAGTACAACAAGGTAAACTCCATTTTTATTTTAAATTATCGTAACTTTTGTAAATTTAACTTGAAATATTTTTTTAAAGTCTTGCATGTTCTTAATGTTTTTATTTTTGTTTATGATCGTAATTTCCAGACTCTTTACGTTCATATCATTTTAGTTTGTGTAATTTTAATAATTTTCAGATGTTATAGTGAGTGTAGAATGTTCCATTTATAGTTGAGTGCATTATTTTGTGCATTTGAGAGCATCATTTTTTATCATTCTATTTGTTTTGCTCTGGATTCGACATTATTTTGCCATTCAGAGCACATTTTCTTCTCTTACAGTGCACAATTTGAATGCTTAATTTTTTTATTTGCGTGCATTAATTTGTTTATTCTATATCATATGTTTGTCTTTGAAGTGCACATTGTTGTGCCTTTCAGAGCACATTGTTGTGCCTTCCAGAACACATTGTTGTGTCTTCCCGTGCACATTGTTATGCCTTCCAGAGCATATTGTTCTCCCAGCTAGTGCACACTTTGTTTCTTCAAGTGAGTGCATTTTTCTGTCTTCAATTGTACCTAATATGTAATGTAATAGTTTGTTTTTTTTTTTTTTTTTTTTTTTTTTTTTTTTTTTTTTTTTTTTTTTTTTCTTTACGTTAGTTGGAAATACTCGGTAAAGGCTAGATGAAATCCGGTCAAAGCAGGTAGTAGTGTTCAAGAAATCTAGGAAAAGAGCTCGAAATGATGAGGGTGAAGTGGGCCCTAGTAATGTGACGGGTTTTTTGGACGTTGCACCTATGCGAGTAAAACAACCATGGAAGAAACGTAGTAATTACCCATCTTTATGTTCAAGGGCATCAACACACCAGTTTTTCTATGCTCTACGGGATATGAATGCCGCACAAAGGGTTGTTGTCACAGAGATGAGATTTCAGAGCCTATTGCATTTATCAATTGCAGAGCTTCTCACATGATTGAGTTATTGGCTTGTTGAGAACTATAACCCTAGAAACAGTACACTGTATCTTGCTGATGGGAATGGTCTGTGCATAATTGAAGCAAATGTTGAATTAGTTTTAGGATTTCCAAGAGGAAATTTAGAGAACACCAAGTGGACAAGGTCACATAATATTGACCTTTTACAGGAACGGAAATATTTGGTTGGGAGATCACTAAAGGGTATTAGCTACGGGGATGTTATTAATGACATGATAGCTTGCTTTGACGGTGGTGTTTGGTTTCAAAGACATTTTATTGTCTTAGTTTGTTTTGTGTTTATAGATACCCTCAGAATGGTTATGTTAGGCCACATATTTTTCACCATCTAGTAGATGTTTCCTAGATCAAGCAGTTGAAATGGTGCAATTATGTTCTCTGCAATTTGATGGATTCTCAGCTGTGTTGGTCGAAACTTTTTTCAGTGTTCCTATTCTTCTGTTTTTGACAGTAAGGCTCAAAATACTTACATTTTATGAACAATTTAATAGATAAATGATTATAAAACTGACATTTTGCATTTGTTTTCAGGTTTTTTATGTTGACTGTGTTGTAGTCTACACTTGAACTGTTCATTGGGAGATTCCATCATTTACCAGTTGGACTACAAAGCTACTTAAAAGACAGAGTAGTTTTAGAGATTGAAGCTGGAGGATTTGGTCTTGGTCGAGTTTAGGAGAGCCTCCAATGTGCATCAGAAAATATTTAGGCCCGAGCTAAGCAACGTCCACAATCTAAACGTCAAACTGTTTGTGAGGGTGAACCACAGGTGAATCTTGGAGGTGAAAACAACTTTGCCAACCTCCAAAGTTTGAAACATCTGACCACCCCCCACCCCCACCCCCCATCTATTGAAGTCAGATGTTTGAATCTCAGGTGGCAAAGTTGCTTTTACCTCCAAGATTCACTTGGGGACGCTCCTCAGCTCGGGTTTAAATATTTTCTTATGCACATGGGAAGCGCTCCTCAACTCGACCAAGACCAAATCCTCCAGCTTCAATCTTTAAAACTTCTCTATCTTTAAGTAGCTTTGTAGTCCACTCGGTAATTGATGGAATCTCCCTAGGAACAGTCCGGATGTAGACTTAACACGGTTAACATAAAAAACCTGAAAACAAATGCAAAATGTTAGTTTTATAATCTTTTATCTATTAAATTATTCATAAAATGTAAGCATTTTGAGCCTTACTATCAAAAACAGAAGAGAACCACTGAAAAAGGTTTTTTTACTTTTCGACCAACACAACGAGAACCTATCAAATTGCGGAGAACATAATTACACCAATTCAACTACTTGATCTGGAAAACATCTACTATATGGTAAAAAATATGTGGTCTAACATAACCATTTTGAGGGTATCTATTAACACATAACATACTAAGACAATAAAATGTCTTTGAAACCAAACACCACCGTCAACGCAAGCTACATGGCATTAATAACATCCCCGTAGCTAATACCCTTTGGTGATCTCCCAACAATATCTTTTCGTTCCTGTAAAAGGTCAGTATTATGTGACCTTGTGCACTTGGTGATCTCATAGTTCTCAACAAGCCAATAACCCAATCTTGTGGGAAGCTCTACAATTGATAGATGCAATAGGCTCTGAAATCCCATCTCTGTGACAATATCCCTTTGTGTGGCATTCATATCCTGTAGAGCATAGAAAAATTGGTGTGTTGATGCCCTTGAACGTAAAGCTGGGTAATTACTACGGTTCTTCCATGATTGTTTTACTCACAGAGGTGCAACGTCCAAAGAACCCGGCACATTACAAGGGCCCACTTCACACTCATCATTTCGAGCTCTTTTCCTAGATTTCTTGAACACTACTACATGTTTTGACCGGATTTCATCTAGCCTTTGCCGAGTATTTCCAACTACATAAAGAAAAAAAAAAACTATTACATTACATATTAGGTACAATTGAAGACAGAAAAATGCACTCACTTGAAGAAACAAAAGTATGCACTGGCAGGGAGAACAATATGTTCGGGAAGACACAATAATGTGTTCTGAAAGGCACAACAATGTGCTCTAGAAGACACGACATTGTGCACTGGAAGGCACAACAATGTGCTTTGAAAGGCACACCAATGTGCTTTGGAAGGTACAACAATGTGCACTTCAAAGACAAACATATGATATATATACTAAACAAATTATTGCACGCAAATAAAAAAAAATAAGCATTCAAATTGTGCACTGTAAAAGAAGAAAATGTGCTCTATATGACAAAATAATGTCAAATCTAGGGCAAAACAAATAAAATGATAAAAATGATGCTCTCAAATGCACTCAACTATAAATTGAACATTCTATACTGACTATAACATAACATCTGGAAATTATTAAAATCACAAAAACTAAAATGATATGAACTTAAAGGGCCTGGAAATTACGATCATAAACAAAAATCAAAAC